CCCGAGAGATTTACAGTTGTATTGTTCTGATTTTATTTATAATATTACATGTTTGAAATAATATGATTGACAACTTTATTCTTTCCTGTTTCGTTCACTAACTTCGCGTAGACTATTCAGAAAGTCACATAACGGTGGTCTGGGTCAAGATCCCTACATTGGGCTCTAGAATAAACGTTCAGAACTAGATCAAGATTAGCTCAATATTCTTTCCTGAACAGCTCTTTGCACTCATGTCTGAGCGTATTTTTCTCAGTTTCACTACCTCGAAATTATTACTTTTTCTTCAGAAAATGAAACAGTTTTATTGTTCGTGAAACTATAAGTATTGTGTCTTCAAATTGAGTAATGTAGACAGCATTCTAGAGATTTGTGTTTTAAATAAAGCTCAGTTTTAGTTATTCTGTAGAGTTAAATTCGTTTTCAGAGAAGAAGAGGGCATTCTGTGTCAAACAGGGGGGGGGGGGGGCGTTTCTTCTATGTTAGAAATGCTTAGCTTAGACTGTGTAAACAATAGTAAAATATATTGTTCTTCCTGCCTACCACCAACCTTCTGGTTTCACGCATAAGTGCAACAGTGTTTCCCTTTGCCATGTAGCTCTTGACAGTGTGTATATATATATATATAAGGTCGCTGGTCACAGATCACATTATCAACTCGGAGTCGCTGACGCTGCCCGATCGTTTGTTGACGGTCACTATGGAGAGGCGGGGCCAAGGCGAGGTATATATAAGCCCGGAGCACGTCAGCGCACGGACACATACAGACCTCACGTTGACACCTTTACGTCATTGTGAGCTGAAGTATCCTTCATTTTTTTAATTTAACGTTCAACCTCGTCGTATCCAGAACATATCATCATGGTGAGTAGAATAATAGCCTTTGCACTGATTGTTTAGTTTTTGTTGATATAATTTATATTTTTCTGAATGTTTGTGTGTGAGTGTGTGTGTTTGTGTGTGTACCTGCGCACATACGTGCGTGCGTTCGCGTGTTTATGTTTATGTATTTAGATATGTGTAGTTCATGCAAGTAAACAATCTATGTGCTTGTTTGTGAGAGGTTGACAGATGTATATTAGCGACAATGAGAAGAGAAAGAAAGAAAGAATAATAAACAATGGCGGCATCAAGCCAGAAAGCGAAGAAAAACTGCAGGAAAGACCTACAGGACGTTGAAATTCAAACCACTATAAAACAAATTCTCCAACTATAATCCAAGTCTATACTTTTTATACTCTACAAGAAAAAGGGAATATGAAAATACCGTCAGAGATATATTAAAATATAACTGAAAAATAGTAGAAGACAGACAGAAAGGTATACTCGTACAGTATCAGACATAGACAAAACATCCTTCACTCATACAAACGTATTCTCATATACACCCAAATACAGACATACGCACACGCACACGCATACATACATATACATACACAAGACACAAAACACACACACACACACACACACATACACACACACACACACAGAGAGAGAG